CAGGCTTGTATCATTCTAGATGACAGTTTATTGAGTTAAATTAGAACTTCGTTTGTTTAACACCATTAGAAAATAAACTTTTATATTAATTCCTTAACTTACTGATCCATAATCCGTTTGCCCTGGGACAACTTTACAAAGATCAAGATTTTTTTTTTTTTAAGATTTTATTTATTTATTTGACAGAGAGAGACACAGCGAGAGAGGGAACACAAGCAGGGGGAGTGGGCGAGGGAGAAGCAGGCTTCCTGTGGAGCAGGGAGCCCAATGTGGGGCTGGATCCCAGGACCCTGGGATCATGACCCTAGCCGAAGACAGACGCCTAACGACTGAGCCACCCAGGGGCCCCAAAGATCAAGATTTAAAGAATTACTTCTCACTGTAAATTTTTAGTTCGGCAGAAGGGCCTATTTTAGGCATAAGCAGTATTGTGATAAAATTTAAGGAGTCCCTAAAAAAAATTATCAAAAACACCTCAGAGATTCAACTAAAACAATAATCCTGATCATCTCAACAGCCCCGCTCACTTCTCCTGGCTCCAATTATGTTTAAAATTGTTTGCAGTTTAACAGTTAGACTCACCATGAATCTCATGAAGCTTAAGTGTCAGGATCCTGCCTTAGCACAGGCCCCTTCCAGGGCTCTGAGACAGGTGTTCACATAATCATAGATTTTTGAAAAATGCATAAAATAAGGTAGGTTAGCCACAGGTCTTTAAGGCTGTTGTTTCTTTCCAGTTCAACTCCCCACTAGTCGCCATTTCCCCACCTGCCCAGTGGTACTGGCGGGACCAGAACATTGTGGGGATTCAGCTCAGGGGAATTTGAGCTGAGGATACAGTTAGTTGAGGGTTAGTGGTATCTAGTTATTTATCCCCAGCGCTTCCAAGTCTTTGCCAGCAGTCCTAATATAGCAACAGCTTCTGGAAATACTCCTTCTACCCATTCTGTGAATTCTCTTGGCATGTGGAAATAAAGGTATAGGGTCAGAGATCTTATCTGAACTGGAAGTAAGTGGGTCGTGGGTAATACAGGAGAAGCTAACCTGTGAGAAATTCTTCCAATTAGCAGATGCGTAAAATTATATCATTACCTCATCCAAACTGAACTTCTCTTGTGTCAGGAATGCACTTTTTTTTTTTTAAGATTTTATTCATTTATTTGACAGAGAGAGACACAGCAAGAACAGGAACACAAGCAGGGGGAGTGGGAGAGGGAGAAGCAGGCTTCCCGTGGAGCAGGGAGCCTGATGTGGGGCTCGATCCCAGGACCCTGGGATCATGACTCTAGCCAAAGGCAGACGCCTAACGACTGAGCCACCCAGGCGCCCCAGGAATGCACTTATTAACACAGCATGAACAGCTATAAATGCATCAGACAATTTTTGGAATCTGGAATCTTTAGAATGTAGGGCATAAGCTTAGAGCAGTCACAGAAACAGCTCATATGTGAAAGAAACTTGATAAATGTTTTTTCAAATTTAATAGAAATTCTAAAAATCTACATGATGTTATCAATAATGAGGTAAGAAGTCATAAAAACTTTTTGAAATAATTAATCATAATAAGCCAATTCGGATTAACCATGTTAAAGGAAAGACTGAATTATCTTTTTTCTCTTCATAGTAAATATTACAAAATTATGTTTCATATAAAGAGACAAAGATAAAGAATTTGCCAGCCAAAAGGATGAATAAGCATTTAAAATATGGATTGCAAAAGTTGTTGCTCCCCAAAAATGTAGGACAAAAAGCATTATAAGGGATATGTCAGGCAATTAATAAAAATATAATTTTCTATGAATTTTGTGATTTTATGGCACTTTTCAACTTTTAAAATTTTGTAATTTTACAATTTCTTATTCTCAAAATATATTCCCTATCGTACTGAATCTAGCATTCTTTTTCTTTAAAAGGGTCCCCAAATGATAAATACTTCAGGCCTCCTGGAACCTACATCTACCTTTGTCCATCTATGGCCACATGGATATTATATTGGTACCTCACAATCAACATGCCCAAATCAGCATTCCCCCCGCCCCACTCCCTGCACTCCCTCCCCACCATAAGTATCCCTCAGCCTCTCTCCAGAACTGTAGTTGCATCCACCCATTGTCAAACACATACCCTAGTCATCCCTCATGACTCTTTCTCCTTTAGTCAACACACCCAATCCACCCCTCAGGTCTTATAGTTCTAGCTCCTCCAAATAGCTCATCATCATTTCCTCCTTTTCAAACTGACCACCACTGCCCTAGTTCAGCCTGTGTTGGGATAGATGCAGAGCCCTCCACTGGTCTCCTGGCTGTGATGCTACCTCATTGTCCCTCCTCAGATCTCTTCAGTGACTTTTCCCTCCTAATCCCACATCTGAATTTGTCACCCCCTACTCACATTTTTTTTTTTCAATTCCATCCTCCATCCAGATCCTTTGGTGGGACCCTGAAAGGCCCTCCCAGGTATGGATATTGCCTAACTCCATAACATCATTTCTCTGATCCTTTCTCTAGCCCCCCAAACTCCATTTATGTTCCAGGAATACTGAATTAATTTCAGTCCATCAAACATGCCTTATTATTTCTTCTCAGTGGACCATAAATCTCTCTTCATGCATGTGTCTGCTTGGCAAACTCTTCATTCCTCAAGTCTCAGTTTAGAACCTACCTCTGCTGTGAAGCCTTGCCTGACTCCTCTGCCCTCCACCACACTCACAACTACTCCTAGCAACCATCATGTTCTGTACAGAGCAGCCTTTACTTATTACACTGTAAGCATTTGCTCCCCACCTATATGGGATGACACCTATCTGATCACCTGTTGTCTTTGATCCTCATTGGTTGATGAATGAATTTCTCCTCCCTACCCCATCCCTGGTTCCTGAATTTCCAGTGAAAGATTGAGATAAGTTGACACAGGTGGATTTAAAGTATGGATGCCAAAAGCTTACCTGTGATTTCTCTTTCTGTCTCTTTAGTTGGATGAATGAATGTGGGAACGTGTAGGTTATATATGAAAAACTTTTACTACGGAATTGTTTGAACATTTTACAAAAAAACACATTACTTTTCTAATTACAAAAATGCCTAACTCAGGAACAGCCATGATAGTTCCATGTTTTCAGCTGTGATGAAAAGATCTTGAAACTTCATGTCTTGCTTTTTTCAACCACTTTACTTTCTGAATTATGTAAAGGGAGATCAGTCTTCTCCTTTTGAGTAAGTTTTTCAGCAGCTTCTATGAATTTTATCCAGTAGCAAAAAAGAGGCTTTGGCCTCATCCATCCATCCATCCAACCATCCATCCATCCATCCATCCATTTTTAGGTGAGGTGATATATTCCCATGGTTCAAACTTCAAAAGATAAAACATTCTCCCTCCCCACCTCTGTGCCCCAGGCACTCCTCCTCCAGGCACATTGTTACTTGCTGCATCTCCTTCCAGGCTATTTTATGTATTTATAAGCAAATATTTCTTAACATTTTTATCTGAAAAAATACTTGTTTTAGTCAGCTTGGGCTGTCATAACATAAACTGGGTGGCTTATACATCAAAAATGTATTTCCTCACAGTTCTGGAGGCCGGAAGTCTGAGACCAAGGTGCCCACATGGTGGGTTCTGGTGAGGCTTCAGGGTTTATAGATGGCGCCTCCCTGCTGTGTCCTCACAAGGAGGAGAGAGAGTGACCCAGTTCTCTGGTTTCTCTTTTAATAAGAGCACTAATCCCATAGTGAGGACTTCACCTTCATGATCTCCTTTAAACCAAATTATCTCCCAAAGGACCCATCTCTAAATACTATCACTGTGAGGGGTGGGGCTTCAATATAGGAATTTGAGGTGGAGGGAGACATAATTCAGTCCACAGCAATATTGGTTTCTAAAAACAAAACAAAACAAGCTTATATGCAGTGCCAACTGCTCTTTTTCTTCCTAAATGGAGCTTACCAAAATATAAATATGACATTTTTTGTAGCACATCGCTTTCCACCCTCTCCTCTTCCGTTGTTTTTTCGTAGCACTTAGAGAATAGTTCTAAAATAGTTCTGCACCTCTCCTGTGCAACCCCTTAGGACAGTATTCAGGGCTCTTTAAGATTCTCATTCCAAACTCTCTTCCCTGCTTAACACTGGGGGACACCCCGCACCCTCCAATGGCGGCACCCTGAATGCCCTGGGCAGACTTTAAGTGCTTACCTCATGGAATTTCCTCTGTTTGGAAGCTCCACCCCACAATTCTTTCTCCAATGTCTGTTCGAATTAGTAATTTGCCCCTCTATGTTCTCATCTCACTTTATAGCATAATTTACAGTGTAAATGCCAGAATAAAATTCTAAGTAATCATGTGTTCTCCCACCTCCAACACTTACAGCAGGAATTGTATCTGATTAATTTTGTGTCTATAAAGTACTTTAGAGACGCTAAATTCAAGTTGGCCCGAAGAATTAATAAACTGTATTTGCGAAGACGATAGCACGAATTTACAATAACCCCTGAAAGTTTAAAAACAAAGGTAACTGAGTTAAATTGAAAAATCTAGCATCGCAGCTGTGGAAGCTTGTGGTCTTCTTTATGTTGAATGTAAAATGGATATAATGAATTACTAGCTGTTTTTAGATGCTATAAAATGAACACCTCGCTAAGGCATCCCAGAGATGAATATATATATATGTACTCATTAAAATCAGTACCCTGAACTGGCAGAGAACAGTTTTCTTCCCTAGAGCACTTCTCTGGGGTAGTCAGTTTTCATTTAAAATGTGAATTTGGGATTTTAAAAGTAAATTTTAAAAGTTCTTAGGTTCGGGCAGAGATTTCAGAACGCCCTACTTCCGATGTGAATCCCAAATATTCTCTGTCACCTAGGAGCATAAAATTGTTAAGGCCATGCGTTCATACCACAAATAGTGCCAGATGACAAATGCTGCTCCCTGTGTAAAAGGGCACTAAACACTTAAATGCATGTGATATACTAGCTCCCTTCTTTATCCTAATGTGGGTCTTTTTTTTTTTTTAATGGAACACTTCACCAATTTGTGTCATCCTTGGGCAGGGACCAGGCTAATCTTCTGTGTATAGTTCCAGTTTTACCAACTGTGCTGCCCAAGCGAGCACCTAATCTGGGCCTTTTAATAGTATTTTGTAGAGTTCATGGTAATCAGTCTTTGTCCTACATCCCATTAAGGGTGGTGCAAAGAGAAGCCCTTATTAGGGGACTCTTCTTATCATTTCTATTTTACTCTTATTTTCTTAAAAACTTAAATAATGACGTTCAAGCACAGACATCTCTCTTAAGGTTATGGTGGAGGGCAATGAGAGAGAGAGTTTTTGATACTCTTATTATTTAAAGAATAATTTAGATCCCTTTTTTTTTCCTCTCCTGGAATTGTGAATTTTGTGTTTTAAAAAACAACTAAAATTCTGATGTGAAATATTTTAAAATTTAAAAATGTGAAATTTTGTTTTTAATTTTTAAATAAGCAGAATTTTTAAATAAATAGAATTTAAACAAAAAGTTTAAAAAGTAAGGTAAAAACAAAGTATATATATGTGTGTGTGAAATGTGCTCCTTTGGCCCAGCCGGAAAATCATCCACTTACTGCTGCTAGGAGAAAAACATAAATATACAGTAGCTTTAAGTATTAGAAGTGAAAATAATGGAATCTGAATGTAAATGTAGTATCAGTGTTGTGATGAGATATTTGAGTGCAGTAAGTTTTAATTGTGCCAATACTGGAAGGGTAAAAACCCGACCCATGGCGAACAGTAGATTTCCGACGACCAGAAACAGTAGGACGACGCTCTCCTGCGATGAAAGAAAGCGCCTGCGCTCAGACTCAGTTGGCGCCCGCCCTCTTGCTTTTTCTCCAGCCGCCGTTTCCACTCTCTTTCGCGCTTTAGCCACCCGGGAAGCCCAGCCCCAAGCGTCGCTGGGCTCCGATTGGCTCCTTTGAAAGTCTACGGAGTACCTGATTGGTGGGCCCCGGGCCCTTTAGCGCGGTGAGTTTGAAACAGCTCGCACTTAGCTGCAAAGCTGGCTCTTGGAAGTTGAGGCAAGAGCGACGCCGACGTGGTAGCCGCCGCCGCTTTCGTCGCGGGATAATAAGCCCGGTAGAGTTGCTGAGGTCAGGGTCATGCCTACGGGGCGTCTACACGGCGGGGGCCTGCTCGGAGACCCCGGAGAAGGAGTATTGAGGAACCGGGTGGTATTAGGAGGCCGGACTGGGCAGCAGGGGTCTGCGCGGGGCCGGGCCTCTGGAAGCTAGGCCGCGCCTTCACTCGGGCCCCGGGGGCCTGGGCGTGTGAGCGACGCCGGGGCCCGGCTTTCCCGGAAGGCTCGCGGGAGCCCAGACCCGGCGGGCATACCGCGGGGAGGGCAGGGGCTGCCCTGGCCTCGGAGTTGCAGTCTGGGGTCGCGGTGGGCAGTTCTCGCGAAGAGGCCGCCGACCTGGCTGAGGAGATTTTCGGGTCCTGCGTGAAGCCAAACCCTTGCACTGGTTCGACGACGCGGATTTCCAGGCTCCGTCCTAGGCCCTGCGGTTCCGGCCGGTCCCGCGTGCGCTCTGCTCTAGCCTCCGGGGGTGGAAAGCCAGACCGCACCTGGGTCAGGTACCCACACCGGTTCCCAAAGCCAGGCCGTCCCGGAACACCGATCGGATGAACTGACTTGTGGGCCTTCTCGGACTTCCCTCCGTGCCCAAGGCCCTTGTGCTCCCAGAGCTTTTAAGAACACCTGGCCAAGGATAGAACCAGAGGGAATTTGGATTTTTTCGTTTTTATTTTATGCTTGGTGACTGTTATATACTATGCAAGGTGGAAAGCTAAGAAATGCCGAGAGATACGTATATGTGTGTTTTAGTATCCCTTAATTTTTGTTTAATACTAGGGTTACCAATGTGCACGTCTTGCTTCCTTTAAAGACCTGGAGGTCTCTAGATAGGAGATGAAGCTGTTGGTGTTTTACATACTGCTGCTAGTAGTACAGAGCCTCAGAAGGCATTCAAAAGGCATTTTAAAGCTTCATCCTTTATATTACATTGTTAGAACAGGAAAATGGAGAGAGGGTAATGAAACCCAGCTTTGAAATTTATTGTTCAAAGTGAGCTCAACAATTTTATTGTTCTTTAGGCATAGTAAATCTGGATATTGTAGAAAAAGGTGATTATCCTAATTATTGCCGTTTTGTAAAATTAAAATAAAAAATATTTAAGATTGGCACTCATGGCCAGTGTAGTGCAATTTTGTTCATTTAAAAAGATTTGTCTCTAATTCTGGAATGATTTTGAAGATGACTGTGAGAAATAGAACTTAAGTGTCAATTACTCAGTGACCTTCATATATGATTTTAGTGATGAGTGTGTTAGAAAATCAGAGTAATTATGCTTGGGCTTCTGAAGATGTTTCAATGGCCAACTTCTCAGCTGAGGAAGTCTTGAATGTCTCCTTGTCAGCATTTCAACTGACATTTGAGCAATCTTGCTAATGGGTGAGCAGTGTGGCCACATTAGCTCTCTGTTTGTGTCTTTAAATATTTTTCCTTTTGAATTTTCTTCAAAAAAAATGTAAAGTACAAATTGAGTCAAATAACATTATTTGTGGAAGTGTTTGGGTATAACTGACACACATTGGTGCTCCTTAGAAGTGTTACATAAAGAAAACATACTTCTGGTTTTTGTTTGGAAGGGATAGATAAGTTGATAGCTGAATTTGAGGGTTAATTTGACTGGAAGAAGCTAAATATTATGCTGGTTAAGATATACAGATCTAGTGTTTTAAGAGCTAACAAAGATGGAAAAATCTTATTGCAGAAGTCCTTTCCTTTGTAAGTGTTGTTTTAACATAACTAATATTTATGGAAAATTAATACTACACTAGACACTGGAAAATGCTTTACATATTGTATCTCATTAAAAACTTAAAACCACCTTTTGAGTTAGTGGCATGAGATCAAATCAGCTTTTCCTCTCATTTTAGGATCTACCAAATCTGCTGATTAACTATGGAAGATTATACCAAAATAGAGAAAATTGGAGAAGGTGAGTGGTTTTAATAATAAAGTTTTTAAAAAATGATTTAGTAATGCTATAAATCTGGGACATGAAAACATGTAAATATTTATTAAAATCCAGTCTTCAAGGTATCCTGTGCTAATGTGCATTAATTATATGTTCTTTACATGGTAACTTGTAAAATGTTCAGATTTTAAGAAAGTTGAAATTATTCTGATATGATTCCCTGTCTACCCTCTTCCATCCCCCTAATAGTCTTACATTTTAAAATACTAAACACTTGGGCGCCTGGGTGGCTCAGTTGGTTAAGCGACTGCCTTCGGCTCAGGTCATGATCCTGGAGTCCTGGGATCGAGTCCCACATCGGGCTCCCTGCTCGACAGGGAGTCTGCTTTGCCCTCTGACCCTATCCCCTCTCATGTGTTCTCTCTCATTCTCTCTCTCAAATAAATAAATAAAATCTTTAAAAAAAAAAATAATAAAATAAAATACTAAACACTTAATATTTGTATTTTGAGAAGACTATTGATACCTTGTATGTGTGTTGGTGGGGAGAGGTTAGGGCAGTAGAATTATGTTAAGTTTAATACTGTACTTTTAGTCTCATACAATTATTTTTAAGATCAGTATTTTTACCTAAACTTTGTAAATTAGTACAATAGACTATTAAACCAATTTAAATAAATTTTCTATTTAGTTTCCTTAGATTTAAATGACCTGTTATGTGTACATGTTTAAGCAAATTTAAAACAAATAACTCTTGTATATAATCATTCATTTCCTTTCTGTAGTACTTAAAGTTTTTAAAGAATGTTTATGTGGCATAAATGGAAGAGTAAAAGTATCCCTTTGCCTTTTTTTCCAACAGAATATCTAAGTTTCTATTAAGTTGGTATTTACATTCTACACTCTAGGAACAAATGGTACAGCTTGTACAAAGTAATTTGCTATTAGAGTCCAATTTAGATAGGTTCTGTTTGAGGAACATTTCCAACTAGTATATTTTTAGTGTGTTCCAAAACCGTATTTGTATAAGGAATACTACTAAAAATCCAGGGGCGGAGGACTGGAAGGAATTTAGTGAGATAGTAATGATAAGTTTAGGTGGTGATTGGTTTAGAGATCTATTCTTTTTCTTAACTTACAAATATTATATGATATTTTTAAAAATCACTTAAATACTTTGTAATACCTGCTCAATTAAGCTAATTTTGTTTCTGAGTTGAAAATAAGAAAACATCTACTGTCTTCTGCTTTGAGTTTTTCTTAATCCCCAGAGAATTAAATGAGTGCTGTTTTTAGTTTGGAACAAAAAGTTATTCTTAAAGTGTAAATGTGTTTTTCTTTAAAACTCTGGAACTCCTAACATGCAGGAGACTACAGATTTGACTCTTGAGAAGAGGTACTCTAATTGAAATACAAGCAGTAAAGAGTATAATTTCAAATGTAGTCTTATTTCCTGGAGTTAAAAGATTCCATTCTACTACATGATGTCCTCATATTCCCAATTCACTGACCCCTGGGCTTTTGGCAATGGCTGTTCTTTCACCTTGAAAGCCACTCTCTGCTGCCTTCACTTTCATCTCCTTGTTCTAGTCCAAGTGCATTTTGTAGTTCCCTTTTTGTTATCTTTAATATCCTTTTTCTTTACTACATTGTAAGTAAGCTTTATGAAGTTTGGGATTTTGTCTTGTTCATAAGTGTTTGAACAGGACTTGGCAGTAGTGTCTAGCACTATTGGAGATATTAAAATATTTGATAATAACATTATCTACTTTTCTTTGTGTGTTTTCCTCTGTTTCTTTTTCTGGTTTGTATTGTCTTGACTACTCCAGTGCCTGGCTGTTTTGGATTTTGTGGTGGACACGTTTTTGAAAAAATAAATTGTATGAATAATTTAAGGCCTAGATGATATCTTTCACACAGTATTTTCTTTTGGTTTGCCAGATACCTGGTCAAATTCTACTAGCATTAAAGTAACAATTTGAAAAGTTAAATTTCTTTCCCTCAACTTTATTTTATTTCCAAACATAGAGAAGTTGAAAGATAAATTCAATGAACCTGTAATACCTTTTACCAAGATGTTAATTTTGTCACATTTACTTTATTATCTATGTGTTTTTAGCATTTTGTTTTTCTTTTGACCCATGTAAAGTAAGTTGTAGAGATGTGCTTTACTACTAAATACTTTTGTATGTATCTTCTGAAGAACTAGCCAATGTCATGCATTTCATTTGGTGACTAATGTCTCCTTAATCTTTTTCTAATTTAGAATAGTCATCCTGACTTTTCCACCTTGACGCTTGAGTTTTTTGACAACTTGATTCATTTCTTAAATACATCTAGACTTTTCTTGTTTTAGTTATTACAAAGGTGTTCTCTGGTTTCTTCTGAATTACAAAGATCTGAGTGTTGTCACATTCTGTTATAAGAAAACATCTTTTTGGATCATAGAGAGTAGCTATATCCATGATGTGGGACCTAACTTGGCCTTTATTCACTCAATAAACATTTGATTAAAGTTTTTATGCTTACCATTTAGAGTCTCCAGAACTTGACCATAACTAACATTATTTTTTTAATTTAATAATGTGTAGTTCAGGGTGGTTGGGTGGCTCATTTGGTTAAGCATCTGCCTTTGGCTCAGGTCACGATCCCAGGGTCCTGGGATCATGAGTCCCACATCTGGCTTCCTGCTCAGCAGGGAGCCTGCTTCTCCCTCTCCCTCTGCCTGCCGGTTCCCCTGCTTGTGCTCTCTGTCAAATAAATAAAATCTTTTTAAAAAATATAATAATGTGTAGTTCATTTCAGAGTATATATTATGCATTTCATAAATAATTTTTGGTGCTTAGCCAGCAGAATCATTCTGCTTTGTTTAACTAGAGCTCTGTACTAGTAGTTATAAGAGTGGTAATGGATCATAGAGTCAGAAGAGAGACATAGAGCATTGTGATGTCTAAAATTGAATAAATACTAAGGGTTAGATATAAGTTAGTTAATTGTTATAAGTAAATTTTAGGCCCAGATGAGATTGTACAGGAGAGAGAGGAATAGTAGAGGAAAAAATTAGTTCTGAATTTACCATTAACTGCTTATTATGCAATTGACGAATCTTGAATTTGCTTTAACAGTGTGCCAGGTAATTGTGCTACTGACTCACCTACTTTTGTGGTTTTTGATGCAAGAATAATTTATATCCAAAAAATGGACAGACTTTAATTGAACAGAAGGTTATTTTTAAGGATGGTTGTGAAGATCAATAAAATCAGGGTTTTTTGTTTTTAATTTTATTATGTTATGTTAGTCACCATATAATACATCATTAGTTTTTGATGTAGTGATCCACGATCCATTGTTTTCGTATAACACCCAGTGCTCCATGCAGTACATGCCCTCCTTAATACCCATCACTGGGCTAACCAATCCCCCTTCCCCCCTCCCCTCTAAAACCCTGTTTGTTTCTCAGGTCCATAGTCTCTCATGGTTCATCTCTCCCTCCAATTCCCCCCGCCCATTTTTCCCTTCCTTCTCCTAATGTCCTCCATGTTATTCCTTATGTTCCACAAATAAGTGAAACCATATGATAATTGACTTTCTCTGCTTGACTTATTTCACTTAGCATGATCTCAGGGTTTTTTAAATCTGGAATAACTTTGGTTATCCAAAAGTCACACTTAACCCAAATTTAGTCAAAATAATGTAAAATTTTAGGCTCTTAGGTCAATTATGTCTTTAAAATCATACCACTATTTAGGAAGGCAGACAATTGTATAGAATTTCTCTGTTTAAAACAAAATTAGAACAAAGTTTATGTAACATCACCAAACCATCCTTAATATTCTAATTAAGCCAGGAGATAATTTGATAGTAGTTCTTAGCCTTTTTTGAAATATTGCTACCTTTGGAGAAACTGATAAAACTATAGATCTCCTTAGAAAAATGGACTCTAATCACTTTTGAAGTTAAACCGTTGTACAGAGAAATAGCAGGTTATTCAGAATTTTATGTAGTCAAGAAGTTCAAGATCTCCCTATATTTTCCAACCTGAATTTGAAATTTTTATTTATCTGTTTATTTAAGATTTTATTTAGTTTTTAAGTAGGCTCCACACCCAACATGGGGCTTAACCTCACGACCCTGAGATCAAGGTCATGCTCTGCCTACTGAGCCAGCTGGGCACCCCTCCAACCACAGTTTTAAAAAGCACTTATCTCGGGGCACCTGGGTGGCTCAGTCGTTAAGCATCTGCCTTTGGCTTAGGTCATGATCCCAGGGTTCTGGGATCGAGCCCCGCATTGGGCTCCCTGTTCTATGGGAAGCCTGCTTCTCCCTCTCCCACTCCCCCTGCTTGTTCGTTCCTTCTCTCACTGTGTCTCTCTCTGTCAAATAAATAAAAATCTTAAAAAAAAAAAAAGGAGCACTTATCTGGGACTAAATCTATCCTGTATATGAATTTTTTTAAATTTAAGGTTTATGCATATTTATTTTTGGGGGGAGTGAGAGTGAGCATACAAGCAGAGGGGGGTTGGCAGGCAGAAGGAGAAGCAGGCTCCCCGCTGAGCAAGGACCCCAATGCTGGACTTGATCCCAGGGTCCTGGGGTCATGACCTGAGCCGAAGACCGACCTAAACCAACTGAGTCACCCAGGCATCCCATTGTATATGAACTTTTTAAACTAGTTCATCTCCCTTAATATTGCCGCTTCTGTTCTCTGTATCCACCCTCCTCCTGCCCAAGATTTCTTATACTGACATTGTTGCTCATTATCTGAAGCTTATATATCAGAATCTGTGTTCTTGTTAACTTCCAAATGGGTGTGAAGCTTTCATACTATATAGTAGATATTTTGAACTTTATTAAATTTACTAAATTTGCTAAATATTTCCCAAATATTTAGTAAAATATTTTAGCTCCATTTTTTCTATTTGAAATGCATAAAACACTCTCTACAGTTTTCTGAAAGTGTGACAGTGACTCCTATTAATAATTCCTCAGCCCAAATCATCTTCACCCTATATTTTATGCCTGCTTTATTGTTGGGTGGGATATTTGAAAGGAGATAAATCTCAATCGGCAAAGGATCCATTTTCTTTTCTTCTCTAAAATGTGCTGGGAAATTATTGGTAATTTAAATGTATGGGAAAATTGTGACAACTACATGAATTTTATTTCTAAACTATAGACATGATAGCTTGTAGTTAGCCTCAGTTTCTTTTTGGAAGTGATGAGGGTATAATTATGAGTAAGACACTTCCTATCTGGTCACAGTAGACATTTCTATCATGTGACACTTAATGGGATCAGTCATTTTTTAAAATCTTAGTTTGTGGAGGGTTTCATATAGTAGACATTTACTTTGTCTGTTTCAGGTACCTATGGAGTTGTGTATAAGGGTAGACACAAAACTACAGGTCAAGTGGTAGCCATGAAGAAAATCAGACTAGAAAGTGAAGAGGAAGGGGTTCCTAGTACTGCAATTCGGGAAATTTCTCTATTAAAAGAACTTCGTCATCCAAATATAGTCAGGTATGGTATATCTGAATTTAAACCATTTTCCGCATACTATTTCAAATGTGAATTTCAATGTGGAAATTTTTACATTTGCTTAATATCTGATCTAACTTTGCTGAGCGGAATAGAACCCTACTATTTTTGTTCAGTGGGAATGCCAGGCATAGGAAGAATAGGCTTAAAGCAGGAACAGAGTTAGAGGAGCTTGGTAATAAGAGATTTGTATTGGGGGCTGGAAAATCAAGGTAAACTGGCCAAGGGAGAAAAGGAAATCCTTTTTCACAGACCTTTATCACCGATACCAATCTGAGCTCTGGTCCTTGAAGACCCCTTAGTCAGAGTCCTAAGACAGGTAGCTAGGTCAGATGAAAAAAAATTTTTTTCTTTAAGTATTTGGATTGGTGTTTGGGGATTTGTTTCCTAATAGTCCAAGTTAGGGTTTAATTGCATTTTTCTGGGGCTGGAAATAGTGAGCAACTGTTAAGGGTTCCTAGTAAATTTTAAAATTTATTTCTATAATTTACTTCATTGGAAAGACAAGGTCTGAGCAACAGTCAACCTAAAAATGTTCTAAATGTCTTTTTTTTTTTAAAGAAATGTTCTTTTGAAATATAAGTGATTTAATAGTTAGCACCTTCAGCATAATATGACTTAATTTTCATTTGCTGTCCTGAATGTCCTTTCTCAAATTCTAGTTTAGTACTAAAGGTTTTCACTACTAGGGAAGCTACCATCTTTTCTTTCCCAAAACTATGTATTTTTTGTTATAGAAAATTTCTTACAGTCTCACTTTCTGTGATAGCCATTGTTAAATTTACGGAAGTTTTGTTTTGTGAGAGGTCAAAAGTGTTTGGTAGATTATTTTTTCCACATGATTATTTTATTCTCTAGTCTTCAAGATGTGCTTATGCAAGATGCCAGGTTATATCTCATCTTTGAATTCCTTTCCATGGATCTCAAGAAATACTTAGATTCCATCCCTCCTGGTCAGTTCATGGATTCTTCACTTGTTAAGGTAAGAAGCTTATTTAATTTTATTGGTATTTATCCACTTACTAAATTTATTAGTATTTATCTTACTTAATTTTATTAGTATTTATCCTCTGAGTATAAAGGGTCTACTCTAGAAGTTCTGTATTTTGGAGGAATATGCTTAGAAAAAATGTTAGTAGAAAGAGGAAGAAAATATTTTTCTTCCACAGTGTATAGATTAAAGTTACCCTTTTTATTAGTAGATAGTGCTTCTAGTTATAAAGTGAAAAGCAGTGCCTGGCATAACATAAAACCATTAAGTATGTATTCCATTGTTGGAAACTAGGATATTTTGGTCTTTATTTGGCAGTCAGCTGTGTGTAAAACAATGTAACAAGCTTGGTAGGGTAATGACAGCAAGTGGTTTTATTTTATTCTGGTTTTGAATGTTTTAATTTATTGTTGACATTATATTTCAGTTAAATTATAAATGTATCATTTTTTTTTTAAAGCATTGTAATCTATAAAGTAGATGTGTCTTTCCTTTAACTGTACCAATACCAAACCACTCCTCAGGGGTAGGTAGCCATTGTTAGTTTTTTAGTAGTCTTACAGATGCTTGTATGTCAACTTTGTATATACACATACACTGTTTTACAGAACGGTAAAACCCTTTTTCTGTGAGACATTCAGCATAGGTTGCCCATCTATCTAAATGTTTGATCTAATTATTTATTTTTAAAGATTTTATTTATTTATTTGAGAGTGAGAACGAGCAGGGGGTAGGGGCAGAGGGAGAGGGAGAAGCAGACTCCTTGCTGAGCAGGGACCACCCCCCCTCCCCAAAGCAGGGCTCAATCCCAGGACCCTGAGATCATGACTTGAGCCCTGAGCCAAAGGCAGACGCTTAACTGACTGAGTCACCCAGGCACCCCTGATCTAATTATTTAAACCAATTCCATACTGATAGACATTGAAGTTGTATTCCAACTCGGTGATTTATGCTCTCATGAACCATGCCCCAGTGAATCCTTATGTTTATTTGTGGTCATTTGCAACTTTATAGAATAAATTCTATTTTTTTTTTTTTAGATTTTATTTATTTGGTAAGAGTACCAGCGAGTGCACCAGAGTGGTGGGGAGGAGCAGAGGGAAAGGGACAAGCAGACTCCGTGCTGTGTGCGGAGCTGGACTTGGGGCTCAGTCTCACAACCCTGAGATCTTGACCTGAGCTGCAACCAAGAGTTGGATGCTTAACTGACTGAGCCACCCAGGTGCCCCTAGAATAAATTCTTATAGCTTTAATCAGTGAGTTGAAGATGTTCATTTACATTTAAAATCTTGATAATGCCAGTTGCCCTCTAAACAATAGTAACACTTTACTCATCGTGGTGTGTGACAGTTATTTTTTTTAGCACCTACTTCTATCAATCTTGTAAATATTTTATCAGTCCATTATGTGAAAAAAGCATATTATCATTTTGTATCTCATTTAATAATTTTTCATTTTTAGCTATTTATAAACAGCCTATACGTAATTCTTTTTTAAAAATATTATTTTAAGTAATCTCTACTCCCAATGTGGGGCTCAGACTCAAGAGTCGTACTCTGTTCTGACTGGGCCAGCCAGACGCCCCAGTCAATTCAGTCTTTTTTTTTTGTTTTTCTAACAGTTGATTTTATGTATTATTTGTAATTTTGAACTTTATAAGTCAATACTATTACTATGTGTACTTTATATTTCTGTAATACCCCTGTTGCTTCAAATGATAATTACATTGTCTGGCAACACCTGTCTTATACAATATTTTTCTCTGAACTAATAAATAGCATGTTATGATAATTACCTTTATTTAAATATATAATAATATCCTGTTTGTTATTTCTTTTGGAATCTATGACTAGTGTTTCCAAAGAAGAAATTAATATGTAATGATAAGAAATAGAAATGGACCAACCTTATTCAAAATAAAAAGAGTTGCTATAAACATATAGACTAAAGTTTAAAAAACTGTGGGGCGCCCCAGTGGCTCAGTTGGTTAAGCATCTGCCTTCGGCTCCGGGTCCTGGGATTGAGCCCCGTGTCCAGCTCCCTGCTCAGTGGGGAGTTGGCTGCTCCCTCTCCGTCTGCCCCTCCCCCTCCACTTGTGCTCTGTCTCTCACTTTCTCTCTCAAGTAAATAAGTAAAATCTTTAAAATAAAAAACTACAGAACTTAAGAATTGGGTACAAAAAATAGTAGAAGACTAAATGAGTTCATATGGATAGGATGTGTCCATAAGGAAAATATCTTTGTCTCAGGTATACAAACATGATACTGTATATCAATGGGCTTCCCACCCCCAAATGCTGCTTGTTAGTCTCAAATGCCTGAAAGCTTTTGTGGTCGTTAAATTATTTCCCTGCATTATAATTTCTTATATCTTAGAAACAAACCCACCAAGATTATTTAGAAAATCATTATGTGGGACAGTTAAGTTTCTAACTAATTTCCTTCTTCCAGAGTTATTTGTACCAAATCCTACAAGGGATTGTGTTTTGCCACTCCAGAAGAGTTCTGCACAGAGACTTAAAACCTCAAAATCTATTGATTGATGACAAAGGAACAATTAAACTGGCTGATTTTGGCCTTGCCAGAGCTTTTGGAATACCTATTAGAGTATACACACATGAGGTATGTAGAATAGTGTTTTTTGGTGCTTTTGAGTAATTGTGATTGCTGGCTTGTTTTCTGTATTTGTTCATTAAGTCAAACACTCAATAAGAAAGATTTCCATCCTGCCAGCATGAATTTATTGCCTCTCAGCTCCAAACTCACTCTTCATTGCATGCTATGTGAAAATCTAACGGGGCCTTTAAATATTCTTTCTTTGCCCACAAGCGTGATGGCTGTAGCAGGTGTGGGGAGAGGCACTGCCGGAGGAAGGGGTTTTCCTTGCTACAGTTCTAAGAGTTATTCCTTATTAGTTAGTCTCTTTTTCTAACCCTCTTTTGTTTAATAATCCTTCTTAGTAAACTTTCCCCAAGCAAATCACCGTGTAGTTTCTGTCTCCTGATTGGATCCTCTCTGGTACACAAATTGGTAAAAGAGAGGTTTTGTTGCTTATGGGTTACTGTTTCAGACATATTTAGAAACTACTGAATATAATCAAGTTTTGTCCATGTTCTTGGCAATCCATGACTTGGCATTTCATTTGTTACTTCCAGAGGGAAAGGGAGTGTTGACTTCTATAGTAAAGGACTTCTGAAAGATGGTTTTCTGTGGCATTGTCTATCCCTGAGCCCAAGGACTATCTCCAAATCAGAACTTATAACATTGTTCATTTGGTTAGATGTATTGGCTTATTTTCATCATTTTTCCTATGGCTGTATAAAAAAGTAAAGATTATTTGGTTCCCATTGGCTTAAACAGTTGCTACTGACCTCATTAAGTTAGAGATGGTATTTTTACCATCGTGATAAATTATAGATACTAAAATAGTAGATCAGCTCTGACCACTAATAAACTTATTTGACTTGCTCATGTTTTTAGCATGTAAGCAGTGTATGTACGTGCATTGTACAGTGTCACACCCAAATCCATTATCAGTGGCTTTTTTTTTTTTAAGTGAATGCTGTCTTGACTATTTTGATTCTTGGACTTTAATGATTTGAAAAGCAAGAAAAGAGCTGGTATGCTTTTATCTGATGTTTTTTTTTTTTAACCCCCTCGTGAATAGAACTTACAAATGAAATATTTATCTTCCATTTATTATTTTGTGTATAGATAGTTGACTTTCAAGCAATGTTATCAGAGGCAACCATGGAACCTTTTAAAGGACAGTCCTACTGAAATATAAAAGTGTATATTTAGTAATTTAATGCACTGCATTTATTCAGTGTAAAAATTTGCTTTGTAATAGGTGGTAACACTCTGGTATAGATCGCCAGAAGTATTGCTGGGGTCAGCTCGCTACTCAACTCCAGTTGACATTTGGAGTATAGGCACCATATTT